TCTTGCAAAAAATTCATATATATGTGTATGTATATATATATATATATATATATATATATATAGCTTCAGACCTATACAAAATTCATTTCCATATTCATCATTTGTGCATGTTTGACCGGCCATGTTTTGTAATACAATAAAGGGTCTATTTTCCTAAATATTAAAAATCAACGTTTTTCTTTTTATCAAAGTATATGCCGTCATATCTATTATAATGATTGTTTCTTAGTGTTGTGCTTTGAATCTCTATTAATCTATTTTCTCACTGCATATGGCTTTTGTATGCACTACAGGTCCTACGCTTCTTAGGCAAAAATTCAAGAAAGGTTTCATTTTCTATAGATTACAATAAAGCAGTAACTATAAACAATAAGACAAAAATATTTTTAATGTCTGTTTTATCCTGCCATGGAAATGTAACTTCTGCCAAAATTGCTTTTCTTTCTGCCCCATTTCATTCTTCAGATAGCACATAAAATGTCACTTGGGAGAGACTTTGCTAAATACATAGAGATTTTTTGGATTACAGTACACCGCTCCATTCAAAGATTAGTTAGAAGTTATGATTGTTAGTTTGGCTTATTATTTGTGATTGACAGCCACACCCAGGATCGCAGAAGTGATGTCTCTTTTGTTCACTTTTAAGGAGCAGGTCAGCGGTGGATACTCAACCCACCTTATTTTGTTGTTGTTGTGTTTTGTTTTGTTTTGCGCGTTTAGCAGCCAGAAACCATAGTGATAGGTGGAAAAGAGAGATGAGGAAGGGGTTTTACTAGCCCAGTCAGAAACAGAAACTAAGAACCCATGACTGTGTTTTCTCTCCCTTGGACACCCTTAGACAAAGGGCCTCTAAGGGATCTAGAATTCTCAGATCACAGGTTTAGTTAGTGGGAAGTATAAACTGTTACCTGAAGGATGAGAAGCCAGGAGAAAGAGGGCCTGTGGAGAGAGGGGAGCCTGCTCCTGCAGAGCAAACAGGTTGTACCAAGGAGAAAGTGGAGGGGAGGTTGTGCAAGGAATAGACACGTCCAGGCTGGGAGACACAGGGGACCTGGAAGATGAAGTGACAAAGAGGAGGCCAGAGGGATGGACATGCCTGGACCTCCAGGTGCCTTTAAGCTATGATGAGGAGATTGAATGAACTCAAAGCACAGTGTCAGGATGAGATGACTAATTGTTGTATGATTTAATAGGATATATTTTGGCATAAATATATTCAGAGTGGAAGTATATCCAATGTATTCCTGAAATACTCTAAAAGATTTATGGTGAAAGTAATTGATAGTTTGAAGCTGTAGAATATTTATATGAAGAGGTAGTAGCTCTGGATTCAAATTTCCTCAGTTTCCAAACTGGGTTGACCCCTTGTAACTGTATGACTTGGATGTATACCTCAGAGCCTAAGCCCTAGTTTCTTTATCACTAAGATGGGGATAATAATGGTACTGAGTATTCCACTGATTAATATTAATATTACAGACAAATTGAAAATGCAGCTTTCTTACATGAAATACAGAGCACTTTCCTATGTGTTTCCTGTTTTTTAAGTACACCATTTCTCTTTCAAAAGACAGGGAAAAACGCACAAAAAAGTAAATGGTACAATTAGTATGTCAAGGTGACATTATAATGACTTGTATAACACAGAGAAAACCATATGCCTTGCCTATAAGACAACTAGGGCTAACAAATCTGCAGGCATTTTCCCTTGTAATAGTCATAAGAATTCAATGAGGTTCATGCTATTTTTGTCTCCTTTTATGCTAAGGATATTGAGTCAAAGGCAGTTTATGTAATTTGTCCAAGATCATTGTCTAAAATGGGACAGAGTAAGACTACCCAATAGAGGCTGGAGTCCCATATCTTACACATTAAGTTCTTCTTAGGCAACAAATAATATTTTTTAGTGATATTATATATACTTTGTAGACCCTTAACATTTTATTTACTTGGTTATGTACTACATTCAAAAAATATTTACAGGAATCATGGTGGCCTGATTGTATGGGCATTTTTACAATGCAAAAATCAGTACAGGAAACCGGAGTCAACAGCATTAAAATATTTCCCCATGTATCAGTGGTCCTGTCCTACAGGATCACTACAAATATGTCCTACAACCACTGGCAAATATGTTCGTAGTTGTCTAACCTAAAACACCAAGAGTTCACACATTTGTATAGGGAAATAAAGACTTTAGTACATGCATATACGTGTTAACTCTCCTCATCTCAAGCAAGTTTTCCTTGCCTGAGAAAACTTTTTAAAACAGGAAATACTCTTCAAGTTCAAGGACTGACTGATTAAGCCCAGCTCATTTTTATTTAGTCAGATGTGAAGAAATACACAGTTAATTGGTAGGCAAGATCTCAATGTACCAGAATCCAATCATAGAGTCTTCAAAACACCAGTGAAATAAAAGTTAATGAGACATTTTAAAGACATTACAATTTTATGATACCGATTTATTTTGAAAACTGGCAAGGATAAATTTAAGTTTAATATGCTGAATAAATTCTCTGTCTTCACTTTGTGATTTCAACCAGAAGAAATATCATTAAATAGTGAATAGTGAATATATATATGTATATGTAAATATATATATATATTTGCTGTGTTTCTAATGAAGAGTTCCTTTTGTTCTTTTCTTTTTTATATTGGTCTTGGAATTTAGTCAGTTAAATCCTTTTGACTTCTGAATTATAGTAAATGAAGGGAACAAAATACTCCAAATCAGCAATAATTGAAACATGATTGGACATATCCCAATGCTAACAAAAATAATTAAAACCATGCATCTGTATTATTATAGCAAATATTATAATGAAGAGTGAAGTGGTTTGATAACTCTATGGAACACTTTTAAAATGTTTTTTCTCTATAAAAGTTAATATTAATATTATCAGATCTCTTAATTAGAGAGCCTTAATATTCATCTTTTAAAAAAGTTATATAGTCTTTTTTCCCAATGATTAAAGCCTTATTTTGTAAGTTACTTGAAGTAATAAAACCCATTCAGTTGATTAAATAGATGGGTCATAAAGAGGCGATTTATGATGTGTAACTATATAAAAGCAAATGAAAAAAAGTGAGAGGATTTAATGTCATGCACATAAAATATTATCTAAGATTATTTACACCAGAAAAGCATATCTGAGAATAAAAATGGGTAATTATATCCAGCCATGGAACTTATGTTAATTTACAGATTAAGCTGCATGTTTTCAGCCCTTATTTTAAAGCAAAAATTTTACTTACTATAGTCTCAATGTACCTACATTACTATGCTGAATAAAGAAATGGGTATCTGTATTGTTACATATGGTAGGCCTTTACAAATTAGTGTGTGTTTTGATATTTATATGGAAAGTTGATTTCAATTCCTTTACAAAGCTTTGCAGTGGGCTAAGACTCTGTGTAGTGTTATCTACGCTGTAAAGTTTCCTCATTTCAAGAGACAGTCATAACTTAGTCAGTACTCTTTAGGTCACCTTGACCTTATCTAATAATCTAACGCTGACTTGACACATATTACATAATAAAGAAAATGATTGAACAAATACATATATTTGTTATAATATAAATTATGTATCTTTAAAACTTAACGGTGTTTGTCTGATCCACCAGACTGCAAAATCTTTGACACACAAGAATCATGTCTTTTTCATAATATTTTATTTTTAGAGCTTATCACAATATTAACAACAGTAATAAATTAATTCATGTATAAGTTAGATGTGCTTTTGCTTGAAAATAACAGAAAACTCGACCGTCATAACTTAAATATAGGTTATCCTGCTCACATAGTAAAGTCAGAGGTATGCATTCTAGATTTCATGCCACAATTCACACCTTAAATCACCTCTTTATCTTTATGATTCACCACTTTGAATGTTATGAGAAGCCTCTTAAACTTACTTTCTTCCAGAACCACATCCTTTTTCAAACACGAGGAAGGCAGAGGAAAGAAAGTTCCTCATTGTGATGTTCACATATTTTTCTAGATGGGGAAACCTCAGTATACTTCATCTCACATCCCAGCAGCCAGATCCAGGCCATAGCCCTGTCATGAAAGTAGTCAACAGTCAATAGATGAAGGGCATCATGGAAAAGGTAGACTATGGTTTAACCTCTGGGATTGGGATAGAGGCTTATTCGCCCATAGATCAATAGGTTCCGCATTCTGCCTGAAATAATTGAGGCTTAATTAGCAGGAAAAAAGAAAACTATTAAGTAGTTATTGGACCTGAAATATTACAGTTTGTATTTTGTAGTGGAAAATCTTATAATAGATAGGACCTGAATAGAACTGGATTTGTCAAAATGAATTTTTTTTTATGTCATATGCTATCTGAAATTGTATCTTTATATTTTGACTTGTATTTGTTTGGCAAAATTGAATATGAGCATTTTCTATTTCTTAGTGGATAGTTACAAATGTTTAAATTCCTCCATATTTTTAGCTACACTGGAAAAATATGCAATATTGAAAAGATGGGGCTGGATGTGGTGGCTCACGCCTGTAATCCCAGCACTTTGAGAGGCCGAGGCAGGTGGATCATGAGGTCAGTTCAAGACCAGCCTGGCCAAGATGGTGAAACCCCATCTCTACTAAAACACAAAATTTAGCCAGGTGTGGTGGCACATGCCTGTAACTCTGGCTACTCGGAAGGCTGAGGCAGGGGAATTGCTTGAATCTGGGAGGCAGAGGTTGCAGTGAGCCAAGATTGGGCTACTACACTCCAGCCTGATAACAGAGCAAGATTCTGTCTCAAAAAAAAAAAAAAAAAAGAAAACTAAAAGGAAAATAAAAGAACAAGCAAAAAAGAAAAAAAGCAAAGCAGGAGACACACAAACAAACAAATGCATGTAAAGCAATGTATTTTTTTTTTTTTTTAGAAAAGATGCATTGCTTTCATAAATTTTCGAAAATGTAGGTCTTGTTCTTGTAATTGCAAGGGAAATTTCAGAGTGAAATTATGTTCTCTATCTTTTCTTAGGTCTTAATGATAAATATGAATTTAGATTCCATTCATCGGTTAATTGAGGAAACACAGATCTTCCAGATGCAGCAGTCATCAATTAAGTCACACTGTGACATGGTGGCACCTGCCTCACCCACCAGGGATACCTATAATACCTGCTTCCCATTTTATGGGCTACAGTCTCATGCTGCTCACAATTTATGTGCACATTCATGTAACACCAATGAATGGGATATTTGTGAAGAACTTCGCCTCCGGGAACTTGAAGAAGTCAAGGCCAGAGCTGCTCAGATGGAAAAGACCATGCGGTGGTGGTCGGACTGCACTGCCAACTGGAGAGAAAAATGGAGTAAAGTTCGAGCGGAAAGGAACAGTGCCAGGGAGGAAGGAAGACAACTCAGGCTAAAACTAGAGATGGCAATGAAAGAATTGAGTACACTGAAAAAGAAACAGAGTTTGCCACCTCAGAAGGAGGCATTAGAAGCTAAAATCACCCAGGATCTGAAGCTTCCTGGTTTCGTAGAAGAATCCTGTGAACATAGAGAACAATTTCGATTTGGTTTTCAAATGTGTGAGTCTGTCAGAGAGTGTTTAGTAAAAAGACAATTTTCTACAAAGGAGGAAACAAATAATAAGGTAAGAAAGAATCCAGAGTTGATGTGAATTTCTGAATGTCATACGTAGTGACGGGAGGAAGAAGGAAGTGACAAATCCAGTGGTGACTATGCTAGTCTGCCAGGGCTACCGTCACAAAGTACCCTAATCAGGGTGCTTTAAGCAACAGAAATGCATTTTCTTACAATTGTAGAAGCTAGTAGTACACGATCAAGGTGCTAGCATGGTTGGTTTCTTCTGAGGCCTCCCTCCTTGGCTTATAGAATACTGATTTCTCCCCGTGTCTTCCATGGTCCTTTCTCTGTACACATGTCTGTGTCTTAAGTTCTTTTAGGACACTCTAATGAACCTAATTTAATTAAATCATCATCCTAAGGCCCTGTCTTCACTAACAATCACATTCTGAGGTACTGGGGGCTAGGACTTCAACAAATAAATTTTGGGAAAGCACACTTTCAGCCCATACCAGTTGTTTTACTAATATTAATAGGGAAAAAAACTCAACAATTTTTTATCCGAAAAGAAAATATTTGGAGACATTTCTTTCCATTTACCTTAATTTGTCAAAATTGTGAACAATCCATAGTGTAGTTTGAATATTTCTCAAAGTTTGGGACTCAAGCCTCATGATTAACTTCTTATAAAATGGGTACTGCAGGCAAATAGGGTACTTTAGGAAATGCTTCATATGGTCCACACTGATGGAATTTCTTGATATACTTAGAATATCAGTTTCTGAGAATTCTGCACAAAACAAGTGTAACTTTAAAACGTCTATCAGTTTGTACACTTATTCACCCATGAACCGCCACTCTGTTTTGTTTGTTTGAACTTGGTAAATACTATTAACAACCCAAAGAACATACTTTGGGAACTCCTGTTACCTCTTATCATAATATCAGTTTATTTTGTTACCTCTTTTACTTTATCCCACCTCTAATACATATTAGTTAATATCTGGCACCACTACCATTGCATTTAGTGTTTTAAGCCATTCTATAACATATAGAATTTATGGTAGATAAAAACTAGAATTCATTGCAAATAAAATAATGAAGAAGATTACAATAATGTAATTACTTCTTCTTATTTGTTCTTTTACATTTTCTTTTAAAAGCATTCAATGTTGATAATCTAGGCTGTTAGTACCTTTGTATGTATCTTTTGGAAAATCATATATTCTCGAAATTCAGCTATATTAATGTATGCGCTAGAGGAATGTAATGACAAGCATAAGGGAATGTAGCTCACATAATGTTCTCTGAATCCACAAGACTTTTTTATTATTACAAGTTACTAGACTTTGCATTTGAGAGAATGAAGGATTCTCTTCACATGTATTATTATGGAAAATTCTCAGTATCTTGGGATTTCTTCTGAAATATCTTTGTAACATTAATGTCAAGAAGAAATCAAACATAGTAGGTATTTATTAAACTTTATTTATTTGCAAAAAATCCTTCTGGAATTTCCTTCTGATAGTAGGAAAATAAATATTACCTGTTGAAGAAGTTTTAATCATTTTTTTCCTTAAAACTTTGACCTAACTTTGCCAACTCTATGCCCAACAAGAAAGATATGTATATGTATCATTCATCTGACTTCAATACTTTCCATGAACAATACATCTTATTTTATTGTTTGTCAAAATATTATGATACAGATAATTGCAATACTCATTCTTGAGAGAATTGAGGAATGAATTATACTAGGTAATCTGGCACCCATATATTATTTAAAACATAAAATATTGAAGCATTCTGGAGATTTTACTTAAACTTGATTATTCAATGAGATTTTATTTGAAATTGTCTTTCACTTCGAACTTATAAACTAGGGTAAATTTAAATTATAGTCAAATACCAATAGCATGAGTCCTGTGAAGCTTTTGAGTTACGCACTAAGAATATTGACGCAGTTGCTGCTTAGTATTGATGTCCATATCAAGTGTCCCATTAAATTCTATTTGAGATGTGACTCATTAACTAAAATAAAGCAATAAGTGAGCTTATTGAAATATTCAAGAGCTTTCTGAAAATTCTATCGTCTTTCAAAAATGTTACAAAAATAATTACTTTGAAACTATGTCTTTCTTATGACAAAAGAAACTTGAAAAAGAATTCATCAACTCATTAAAAAATTCTTTTCAGCTGTTCAACTTTGTGCATGGTTATTTTTAGCTATGATTAGAAAAAGAAAACAAACAAAGAGGTAAAGCAGACCCTTTTAGAAATGTATTTTATTATAACAAGGAAGAACATAGAAAAGTTTGAAGAAGAACTCAAGTAAGTTCAGCCACGTAACACTTTTAGGTACTGATAATGAAATAAAAATATGGATTTGATGCTGTATTGTAACGTTTATTTCTTTATGAAATTGTATTGTTGTCATGATTTTTCTCCTAAGGGGTTTAAATATCCACCATAATTGTTTTATTTTTTCAGGAAGAAGGAGCGGTTATTGATTCTTTAAAATTAAATGACGAGATGAAACCTAATCTAGATAGTGTTGATTTATTCAAGAATGGTGGCTCTGGAAATGGTGAAATGAAACCTGGGCTGAAACTGAAAGCAATAAATCTGCCTTTGGATAATCAAGTAACTGAAATTTCAGCTTTGCAGGTGCATTTGAATGAGTTCCAAAAAATCTTATGGAAAGAAAGAGAGTAAGTGCTAATCATTCTCTACCTTAACCAAGTCTGTTTCAAACCACTTAAAATTGTTAACACTGATAGATCGATCATTTGATAATGTATTTTATCCATGTTTAGTCGTTACGTTTTAGTATTTAAATAAATTAGTTTGACATATATTTTGAATTTTGAAAAGTAATCTATAACTTGTTAGTGTTCTTCATTCTTTTAAATTGACTTTTATCATGACTATGTTTTTACCATCTCTGGTAGATTCACTTTAATTTTTTCTGAATTCTTAATGTCCACGGTTAAAATATCCAGTGTATTATTTAATTTTTACAGCATTTGGACTTGGTCAATAAATATGTTAATTTTAATAGTGGAAAAAAATCACAATTTTGTGAGATACTGATTACAGAATAAGCTGTCTTATACATGGACCATTAGGGCTTCAGGCTTGTGATTAATTGGCCTGGATATTCATCTTTGTTCTGATGTATTCTAGCTATGGGACGTTGGCTGTTGCTGCTTTTGTGAAAATAGCTGTAGTGATGTTATGTTCCAGTTTTCTGTTGTCTTGAAACAAACTTTTCCAAACAATGATCATTAAAACATATCAACAACGATCGCTATGTCTTCTGTTCAAGAATCTTGAGCATGGCTTGGCACGGATATCCTTATCTCTGACTTGTGCCTTCAGCTGCAATGGCTCAAAGTCTGGCATGCTTGGAAGGCTGGGGGCTAGAGCCTCTCTCACTCATATCTCTGGCAGTCCATCTTGGTTCTCATCTAGGCCTCAGCTGGGACACCTGCACTGGGGCTATTTATAAGGCTGTTTGGCTTCCTCACAACATCGGGACTAGGTTACAAGTGAACATCTTAAGAACACAGAGAAGAAAACGCCATTTGAATGACTCTGCCTCACAAATCACTTAGCATCACTTCAGACCCACTGATGGGTGGGCATCTCAAAGGCTGACTCAGATTCAAGAGAGAGGCACTTTCAATGGAAGGAGAGTCAAAACGATTTTATAATAAGGGTGTGTAGGATGCAGTCATTGTGGCAAAGATCTCTGAAAAACACAGTCTGTCATAGCCTTTCTCACTGAATTCTCATGAAAATCAAGAAGAAATAATGTCTGGGGAAGAGGCTAGTAATATGAAATGTTCAATATGGATTTTTGTTTCTTTGTGATTAGCTTACAGTTTTATTAGCCCAATGTAGAATATCTAATGTATGTTGAAATATGGTTCCAAAACCTAAAAATAATCATTTTTTATCTCTTAGTTATAAAGTCTTAACAAGCAGAACTGGAAAAGCAAGAGAGATATGTATGCACATATACATACAATATATTATATAAATATAAGTATATATTATATAATAATTTTAAATTATCTGGTTTAAATGGACTGAAATAGGGATAATTTTGCGTACTAGCCATTCACAAATACAGTAAGTTCTTTATCTACCACTTATTTTCTGCCAGAAGTTTCTCATTAGTCCCTGTGAAATTTACTAGTGCCACCACTTGCTTTTTTAGATTCTTCTTCTATATTTCACTAGATGAATAGATTGTGATCATATAAGCATCTGTGTACAGAATAAATACTTATTACTCTACTGAGTGTACATTCCTAAGAGAGGCAACCAATATTAGTGGAAAAAAGAATATAATTAAATTGGATTTTTAGCCTAATATATATAGTGACAATTTTATCTAGACCTATACATGTCAGTCACGTTCTAAACTCTGTGCTTTTATTTCTTGAAGGATTTAACTTTTTGGAAATTACAGACTTCTCTCCAGCCCACTCACAATATTACTTCCCTGATGCAGTCTGATAGGAACAATGTAGAGCTGTGTTTTTCTAGATGTAAACTTTTCTATTCTAAGGTGTCAATTTTAAAGATATGCACGTGTTGTCTTGACACGTTTATCCACATACATGCACACAACATATACTTTTTCCTGTTATGGAATGAATGAACAATTCTCAGGGGAAGTAAATTCTCCAGTTCTCAGTGACTTCAGTCTATAATCTATAGACAGGTCAAAGAATAAGAGAAAAAAGGAGACTTTCCATGGCCTTGTCTTCCCACGCTCCTCTTTAAGAAACAATCCCACGGACATTATGAGTCATGGTGCCTGTGTCCATGAATCAACATTTGCATGCAATCCACATGAGGCAATCACAGTCTATTTTTTTTTCTATCACAAGAGAACGTTTTCCAAGAATAGAGAATATGCTATTACTTATAAATCCATCTAATCTTTTAAATTCTTTGTCCTGGAATCTCAGTGAGTGGGTGGCTTGAATTGAGAAGATGTGAATGTATTTTTTTCCTGCATTCCTATCTAGTGGGAAAATTCTCTTGACTAGTGCACAGAAATCAGCTCAGAAATTCAGAGAGTCATTTTTCCATTGTCCTTGACTAGAACCTCCTATTCAAATAGATGAAAGTTTATTGATTTATTTGCACTCTGAGTACGGTTCAGTTTTATGAATAATTCTCCAGTATATAAAATTTCTCGTATACTGAGACTTTATATATTTCTGTTGACTTTCATAAAGACTTCCCAGGTAGAAAACTTGGAGTAAGACCAGGAAACCTGATCCTATTATACAGCTGTGTGTACCTAGACATTTAAGAAAAGGAGCTTTGGCAATACCAAATCTCAAGTAACAGAGACTTAGATAAAATATTTTGAACTGTCTTAACATTCAAAATCAGTTTTCAAATTCCACTGCAGATACCTCCTTTATCACTTATAAAATGTTTGCTCTGTGTCTTTTAAGCTGAGCTTCAGGCTGGAGTGCAGTGGTGCAATCTCTACTCATTGCAACCTCAGCCTCCTGGACTCAAGCCATTCTCTCACCTGAGCCTCCCTAGTAGCTGGAATTACAGGCTGTGCCACCATGCCTGGCTAATTTTTTTTTTTTTTTCAACTTTCAGTAGAGATGGGGTTTTGCCATATTGCCCATGCTGGTCTCAAACTCTTGGCCTCAAATGATTTACCTGCCTTGGTCTCCCAAAGTTCTGGGGTTACAGGGGTGAGCCACTGTGCCCAGCCCATTTTATTTTCTTAATTAATTTTTTATGTAAGAAAAGTATTATGCTTCAATTGTTTTGCTTTGCTTCATTAAATGTTCAATTTTTTCTTAATAATATGATATTTAAAATCCAGGTTAGAAGTTTCAGCAAATTAAAAATGTTTCAAAGGTTATTTTTTATATATGTATGAGAGAGATAGATTTCTACTTTATATATATAAAGTAGATATATATCTCAATTAATGAATACATTCATTAATATATATGTTATACATAATTATATATTTATATATAATGAATATATAACTCTCAATGAATAAATTGGCATATAAATCTGGTTAATACTCTTTAATGTAATATTTATAAATATTAGAAAGTCAAGCTTACTTTGTTTCCTTATTAACTGTCCACTTAAGGAATATTCAATAAAGCTTTACCATTTTTTACCTCTCAGCATCTATTTTGTGTTTTGGCAATTTGCTACCAAATGAAACAGAGTCTATATCTGTGCATAGATAATGAAAATGCCAGGAAGCCTCTACCACGGTTTCCTTTGCAGTGAAGGTACAGACAGTTGACTTAGGAATAGTGCATCAGAGGTGGCCACCTAGACTTTTAAGCAAAGCCAATACCCCAAGGCAGTAGACAGCATCCAGAATTCATGCATGAGGGGGAAGCAGCAGCAATAAGGACAACTTGTTTCCAGAGGCAGCGGTGGCCTCAGGTGCCTAGTGACATCACCCACTGTCCTGTGTTGGTGATCTTGAGGTCTTGCTGTAATGTCTCTACATTAATGGTGGCCAAAATAGTGTGCTTACAGGAAGATTTCTATGGCTTTCTCATCAGTATTTCTGGCTGCATGTGTTCCCCAGAGATTTCCCAGAAATTTTTTGAGCTATAATATCTTTTTCCACCCAAATTAGCTAATTTGAATATGTTTGCTTGGCAGACATATAATACTAAGAGAGTGTACAGGCAACAGAGAAAGAAGGAACAGGCAGTGGGGTCTTCATGGGACCAGTTTTGTGGCATGAGACTGGGTCTTGGTCCCCGTCTGCTTCATCTGCAAGCATTGGTCTATGATTCTCCTGGAGATCTGAGCTTAATAATATTCTTTAAATACTTATCTTTTCTAATTAAGTTAACTGTATATGGCTTGGCTGTTTGTAACAGTTAATTGCTAATAGCCAGTGCTGAAAGATGTAATTATGAATAGTAGGAAGTGCAGTTGTAAAATCACATATATGCTGCTTATTTAAAGTATATTTGTATAAACTTGTTAACAGTTTAATATTATCTCTCAATTTGGAACTGTTATAAAATTGAATATCTGCATCTCATTACAAATAATCATTTAATTTGGTGAGAACATTTTTATTCTTGTACACCCTTTTAGAAAACAGTGTTCATTTTTTTTTCCAGTGAAATTTCCCACAGTTCAACAATGATTAACATTTATTTCTAGATGTTAATTTTTAGGACCTTTCATTCCTGAGAAATATTTGAATAATATTCTTGTCTAGAAATTTAAATTTCATTTTCAATTATTGTGGAATTGTGACAGTAAACAAAGCATCAAACATACATAGAAATATAATCACATCTTTCCATAAAAACAATTTTGATTCACAATGTATCTTTTAGATTCTACAAATTTTAAATATTTTAGCAATATGATTTTAAAAGTTTATATCATCATATTAAAGATACTATGTTTTTGCTGAACTTTGTCTTTAATTTTGTTCTCATAAAGAATGTGTACATAAAATATGTAACGCTTTAGCATAAATATTGGGTGTTTTCCTTTGCCTTCTTATAGCTCACATATCCTGATGATAGGATACAGCTCAGTTATAAATTTAACTATATTATTCATCAATTTAGAAAAATCTCTGAAACACAGAATAAACTGATTAGGCTAGAAAATTAAGGATTTATAGGGTGCCCTCTACTGCATACATTTAGACATGCAATGTCCTTAATGCTGGCACAGAGACACAAAAGTTTTTGATGAAGCTATCAAAACACTAAAAATATTTTAAGTATCCCATTGTCATTAAATAATTTTTTATAAATTACTTGTTTTCTCACTCCCCTACCCTTTTACATAATAAGAATGTGTGATTTTCTTTTAGGAAACAAATACATATCAGGTATTTTCTTTATGATGTATACTTAAGGAGGTAAATATTACTTTGTTTGAAAATTTTTGAATTTGAATTTATTTTGTTTCTAAATTACCATTTAGTTCATTAAAATGTAATATCAAAAGCAGATATTTGATTTCTCAACATGTATGATTTTACCTGTAGAGTTTTTCAAGTATTATGTTTCTATTATTATATTATAAATGAAATAATTTTCACAATTAATTTTAATGAGAAACATAAATATATGGTTTATTACACAAATGCAGTTAGTCTTTTGTAAAAATTTTTTTATTAATTTAACATATGCCATTTGCTTTTTAAGTTTTTCAATTACTGACAGAACATTTCCACGTTCTACTCAAGAACATATAAAAAATTAAAATTATAAATGTGATGATTCTTATCTTAAACATTCCAATGAAGTTACAAATTTTTTATTATAATTTTCAATGTAAATTCACAGGTCTCAGTCAATATTCAATATCTTTTAAATATTCTAATTTATCACCCAAAACTTAAAATTCACTCAAATGTTAGATATGCAACGTATTTCATACTATAAAGCTTTGTACATATACTTTCTAAATCTAACACAGAATACTAATACTTACTGATTTATTATTTCTGTATTGAATTCTTTTCCTCTTGACATCCCAAACACAACTACTAAAACAAAAATTATATCATAATAAGCAACTTGGGTGTCCTCAGCTGGCTAAGTTTACTTGTCTATCCGAAATTGTGACTGCTGTGGTTAATCTGGACTATGAACATTTATATTCAGTGTTCATAAGACCTAAACTTTCAAGTTGAATCTTTCTGTTTGTTAATTTTGTTTAATATATTTGCTATGTTAATAAGGGATTCTGGATTAGAGTCCTGTAAATGGTGCTTTGCACCTTTTTTTTGGAACCCGTGTCTTTTGAGGTTAAGCTAAGCTCTAACTAATTCTTTTATATCCTCTTTCAATTTTATGGCTTGATTTATACAAATATAATTATATAACTTTTTAATAGGCTGCTTATCCATTTGGTTGGATTAAACTAATATATTTACCGCCTAACACTACTTTGAATTATTATCTTAGTATTGTTACCAGGAAGAATCATATTTCTTATAAATATTTAAATGACATTCAATTTTGATTTTGCATGCATTTTCTAGCCGTGTGAGTATGTTTCTAAAACCTTTCTAGTGACATTTAGTATCATTGAAATAGATCGAGGGGTGTATAGTAGTTAATTATGAATGCAGTAAGTCTGTAACTAACAATCACAGAATCTCAGTGTCATATAACAATCAAAATGTATTTACCTAGAGCTCAAACACACAAGTTGTTTTCAAACTTTTATTTCTGTCATCTCTGCTAATATCTCGTTGTCAAACCTAGAATTGAGGAATGAGGAAAACAACTCTGTCAGTGGAAGTAGATAAAAATCAATGAGCATTTTTGAATAGTAATCAAAACTACCTTACAGATAAGGAAAGGCCAGCTTCAAAGGTCGATACGTGTTAATTACAACCAGAAATAAAACAATTATCAATGACTCTAACAGACAGTGTGGGCAAACAAACAAACAAAAATCGAATGGTTGGGGTATTAAAAGGCTAAATTTTAATCCTCATTCTGTTACTAGTTCTACAAATAGAGAAATTAATTTCAGTAATTTAGAATAATTTAAATAAGAATCCCAGTGAAATTTCTTTGTTACAACAAAATTTAAAATATTTAAAAATTATTTTTATATCCCCAGTAAATGTCTATATTTTTATGATGGTTAGGTAGGCTTATTTGCATGCTGTGTCATTTCAAATGATTTTTTTTAATTCACATGCAGCCACGATATGAAGATGGATTTAAAAAATGTTAAAATTAGAAACATATATATCTTCCCATGTAAGAAAATATTATGAGTGAGAGGAATTGAGAGGCATGCATGAAGCATGCAGAAGAAAGCAAGCAAAATGTTAACGCTGGCAAAGCCAAATTAAATATAGTTAATCTACTGTAAAGTTTATCGTCAGAGTAATAAACTAAAAAACTTGTATTCTATAAATTTTAATAAGTTGCAAAGTGTTTTTTCTCACTAAGATCACATACAAATATCAAAAATTAGGAAAATGGATATGAAATTGGATGCATCCTTGTAATTATTTTAAAATTGAAGACAACTTTTTTTTCTTTTAATTCTTAAATTGTTTAGAATGCGCACAGCTTTGGAAAAAGAAATAGAGAGACTAGAGGCGGCTTTGTCTCTGTGGAAATGGAAGTACGAAGAACTGAAAGAATCAAAGCCCAAAAATATGAAAGAGGTATGGGGGTATGTGACTTAAAGGAAGACATGAAGGCTAGCTTTTTATTTCTTTGAATATGTAGGCAAGTGGACAGAAAACAAAAGGCACAACAGACAAGAGGAAGGGAAGTTAAAAACTGGAATTTCTGCTGTAAGGGGAATATTTGAAATCACTCATCAATAGTGGACTTAGTCAAATTCACACTGTATGACATCTTGTTTTTATTAACATATCTGTGGCAGTTTTATGTTGGTCATTATTTCTTTTCAAAAACCTTATTGCATATATTGAAGGTATAAAAATGATGTTTTGATATGCATATTGATAGTTAAATGGTTAAGGATCAGCTACATGATACAATTAATTACTTATTCTAGGCACATGAGAGGGGATGGTTAAAGATTACCTCTGATAGCACATCATCTATCATAAATGATTTTCACTTTTTCTTTCATGAAGCAGTCTGAAAATATCAATTCATCTCAGGTGTGTTAAAGTTCTTTTCATATCGACATTTTAGTTATTTGGGATCCGCCACTTGCCAGAATACTTTTCTTTTGCATTTTCATCAATAAAATGCCATCATGAACCTTTCCCATTTCAATGATTTATTAGCACTTATGATTTAAGTTGTATTAATTGTACATGCTTTGTGCATTAAAGCATTGTATTACATAAGTATGTAGGGAAGAATAATGAGTAAAGAAAAAATGGCCAAAATAATGACTGTTTTCACAAGAGTTAACATTTAATAGGCGTGTGTGCAATATAAATATTATATATACACATGTATACATGTATACACAGACATATACTTAGATACAGATTCATAGTATTTATATGCACAGGAACCTGTCTCTGGGTGTGACATTCACAATACATTGATGTGTACTAGAAAAATAGTTCATGACACAAAAACATATTATGTTTAGAATGTATGTATATGTGCTCTGTAATATAAGTGGTTCTAAAATTGACTGGAAAAGCTAATATTTAAGATGCAAATAGTGTAAATTTAAGTAAAAAAAAATGCATTTACTATCTTTCGCCACTAGTGTGCAGTACAGACTTGATAATCTTACTCTTAGTTTGGTAAACCTTTATTTAAGTAGCATTTACGTAGCCAACATCCTGAAAAAGTCAGGTTTTTGAGTTGGCTTACAAAGCAATATGTGTATTTGAAAATGTTTAATGTTTTCTGTTTAAATATGATTTTTGGTAGCAAAATAAGAAAAAATTAAACTATGACATCGTACACTGTAAGGTGGATCTTTATTTGATAACCATTCAGTTATGCTTATTAATACATATATGATGCTTGGTAGATTAAAAGGCTGTCAGGGTTTCAGAACAGAAGAAACCTCAAAATTTTTAAAATTTGTCTATATGTACTTTTCAGTGCATGTTTCAGTTAAATGAAACACAAAGTTGAATAATGATTGAAATGAGTGTAAAAAAATTTTTGTAGACATTGACAATTTGTAAATATAAATATCAAACATTATTTGAATTATATGAAAAAATTTTTAAATATGCCTTTTCATTTCTAACGAAACATTTCTTATGTTCTTAGGATTTTTTTTTAAGAAATGTGATATGTACATAAGTTTAAATTATTTTATAAAATAAGATGACATGTGTAAGAATGTTTAGCAACTAAACAAATAAGACTACTTAGAATGAATTTAATTATTTATATATTCTTTGTTTAATCATATCTTATAATGGGTTATGACAGGTAAGAATTTTAGGCTACATTTAGAGATAGTATTGTAGCACAAATATAAGTGTAAAATATTCATAGTCTCCCTACAGTGGATTGACAGGTATGTAATGATGCAGTCCTTGAAATTTCATGTAAATTGTTCTTTCTTACTCCCTTTTTCCTCAGAAATTCTGATAATGACCTTTGCATTTATTGTAGCTCGTCATCTCTAAAAGTGTTTGAATACAAGTGTGATTTCTGTTGTAGATGCCTAAAATGTTAAAAGCAAATTCATGCCTCTCTAAGAACTGCTGATGGAAAGATTAGCAGTTGTTAAAGTTGGAAGCAGATGTGCTCAATAGACCTAGCACTGTAAAAATGCATTTGAAAGTCTAGTGTGCTTTTGGGGGGAAATCATTCTTAATTACTGACATATAGAGAAGAGAAAAGATAAAAATTTAATTGTAAAATCTAAGTGTTTAAAATACAACCAAGAAAATGCATAGTAGAGGTAATTATATCCAAAATGCTGTTTCCATGCTGAATTTAATACTTATTCAACTTTTCATTTGTAAGTCCATATATATTGATTCAGAGTTAGATTATAAATTCTGAGTGTGTAGAAAGGATCATTTATATGAAATTTCATGGTCCGGAGGATCAAATATTCATGTAAGTAACATTGATTACACATAATTCTGATACCTCATTTTAACAATCAGTGACTCTGACTCTTTCCATAATGTAAGAGACTCTGCTATATGTGAGAATACTTGCTAACATTTAAAAATTAGTCTCAAGATAAAAAATTTTAAAAAGTAATTTTTTATTTTCTTTGAATATTGTCAGCATTTACTTGGAATGTTCTAACAGATTTTCTTAATAAGTCACCATATTGTGATCATAACAATGTACCTAGTAGCTTATAATTTATAATATTCTTTCATAAATATTTATAAACACAGAGACACAAGCATTGTTGGGCCCCTTTATGGCTTACATTGAAGCCTTAAACACCTGAAACTACCTTTCTGATTTGGGAGAAAATAGAATATTAGAATTACTAGTTGTATGTAACAAAAATTCTATACTCACACCTTATCTTTTTAAAACATGCAGCATATGGGAGCTATTCTGCACACATCAAGGCAGGTCCTTACAGATAGTTATTAGAAATAGGTGTAGGGTAGAATATAAGTGCAGCTCTGAGCTCAGTGCTAATTTTGAAACATTGCCTCTTATTGCTTTTCCTGTGGCTTGAATAAATTATTCCATAGAAGTGACTATGAACACTAATGTAGCTTATCAAGTCTGCCTCCAAACTGTATCTCACATTATTCCTTTCCATCCCTGCTACTTCCCAGACACAGCCATCATCATCTCCTTGCCTTTTCCTCCCAGGTTTCTTGACCACCACTGTTGACCTATTTAAAATCATTTTATACCCACCAAGCAGCATGATATTTCTAAGACATTACATCGGATTGTATTAGCCCACGGTTTGAAACATTTCAGTGAATTCTCTGTTACTTAGTGGATAGCTGCCTTCCAAATAGTTCAGCAGTCCAAGGAAGTCCACATTCACCTTCCTAAACCATCAGAGGCTGATGGTCCAGTGGATGCCCATTGACACCACTCTTTCTTATCCTAATTGCTCCAACAAGCAATATCCCAAATTCCAGTACATAATACCCAATAGGTGATGACTGTTGACTCATGCATAGCCCTACCTGTGTTAGGAGGGCAGCCTTCTCCATCTATCCAGTGACTGCTGTCCTTCAGGTTTTCAGAGGTTCATGCAGCTGGACACGTGGTCATCTGATCAGAGATTAGAAAAAAGAGAGAAAGGAGGATTATGTAAGGATGATTTATATTATATAGACCAGGCTTGGAAGTAGTGTACATTATTTCCACTTATAATTCACAGATGAGTACTCATTTGCATAGCAATACCTAATTGCAAAGAATGTTGAGCAATGGAGTTAAGCTACACACCCCAAAAGAAAAAGAAAATGGAATTGGTAAGCATCTAATTAGTTTCTACAGCAAGAGTCAATATGTTACAGGGTATAGTCATTCTCACTACTATCACATCTATTAATAAATACGTTAATTAAAATATGCTTTCATTAGTGTTGATAAATGCGTAGTTTGCCTTCTATTTAAGAAAAAGTGGGCCTTTTAATCCTGATCTCTCATACTGAGAGCTTGACTTACATCTGGTGACCTGGGGTAGACTAGTAGAAACCGTTTTTCCCCGCATGACACTCTTTCACTCTATGTCCTATGTCCTGGAGAAAGATTGCAGAATGAGTCCTTCTCAAAATATATCTTTCCCAAAGAAATGGGGAGAGAGGAAGGAGCAGAGCTACCTGTGCTGAGTTACATCTTTTAAACTCACCAACCAGACAATACCTCTTCCTTCTGAGTGATAGAGGGAGAGAAACTTGCAGTCTTAAGGGTGTTGCTAGAGCAGCCGGCCGTCTACAGGAATGGATGTTTCGAGTAGAGAACGTTTTCTCCTTTTACCATTCTTCATGGCCTACATGGTTCCACTTCTGTAACACCTCTTTCGTCCTTTCTTTGTCATTTTCTCCTGCCCATGCTTGCTTCTAGCCTCACTGGCTTTCATTCATTTCATCAAAGGAACCCAACTTCTTCCTACTCAATGGCTAGATCCACGCTGCTTTTTGTTGTTGTTGCTGACAATATCCCACACTTCGCATCTCTTTCCCCTCCTACGCCAGCCACACCTTGTGACTAACCTCGGTTTATGCATCACTTCATTAAAAAGAAGTCTCTGTCCAAAGCATGTTTCCTTTCCTATTTTTTCTCAAAGCAATCTGTGATACTTTAAAAGACTTTTATCAAACTTTGTATATGTGATTACTGTTGCTTTCCCCATTGAGCTGTCCGCTTCATGAGGATATACATCATGCCTGCTTATTCACCTCTCCATACTTGATGAATAAATGTGCTTAATATTTGTGGTGAATATTAAATGAATGAAGCACCGTACTAACACTTTTCTTAATAGCTATAAATGCTTCCTTTTCTAAACGGAAATTGCTATAGTGTAAGGTTAGTAGTTCACTTCCTAGACTTGTCTTTTCTTAGTAAATGAGTCTACTGCTCTCCATCTCTAAGGATTTTAGATTTTCCAGGGCACTGGGATGAAGTCTTATCCATCATCAAAAATCTGTTCAGCTTGTTTTTTACATGACATAAATTAACTTATCAGGCTGAAGAGTGAGGCAGATAAAACACCATAGTAGAATTCATCAAGTGAACAAAAAATGAAGCATATGGGATA